GTTATCATCATTCCTGTTCAATATTGTGTTGGAAGTCTTAGCCAGAGCTATAAGGCAAGAAAAGGAAATTAAAGGCATACAAACTAGCAAAGAAGTAAAACTCTCCATTGGAAGATGATATGATACTATATATAGAAAATCCAAAGGCCTCAGCAAGAAAATTATTGGAACTTATTGGAAGATTCAGCAAAGTTGCAAGGTATAAGAACAATATATAAGAATAAGTTGGTTTCTTTTATGTTTATAAAGATACCTCTGAAAGGATATTAGGAAAACAATACCATTTATAATAGCCATCCAAAAGTGTGGCTATTGTATACTTAGGAATACATCTAACCAGAGAACCAAAAACTTATAGAAAGAAAGGTAGAAAACACTATTACAGGAAATCAAGAGACTTAACAAAAATGGAAGAATACACCATGCTCATGGTTTGGAAGATCTAATATTGTGAAAATGTCAACACTACCCAAAGCAATCTATCGATATAATGCAATTCCAATCCAGATTCCTTCTTTAAAGAGATGGAAAAACTGATCACTAACTTTTTATGGAAAGAAACGAGATAGAAGATAAGCAAAAGAACAAAGTTGGAAACATTTCACTCCCTGATCTCAAAATTTACTACACTGCCACCACGGTCAAAATAGCTTGGTTCTCATACTGGTGTGGCGCTGTGGGCTAGGTGCACTGGACTACAAAGTTGGTTTGAACCACAAGGTCAGCAGTTCAAGTTCACCAACTGCTCCTTGGAAACCCTACACAGGTTTGCTATGGGTCAGCACTGACTCGACAACACTTAACAACCACAACAACAGTACAATTAAAGACACATAGATCAATGGAACAGAACTGAAAACCCAGAAGTAAATCCATGCATATACAGTCAGTTGATCTTTGACAAAGGGCCAAAACATATTAAATGGGGAAGAGACAGTCTCTTCAACAAATGTTGTTGTTGTTGTTACGTGCCGTCGAGTCGGTTCCGACCCATAGCGACCCTGTACAGGGCTTCAACAAATAGTGCTGGCAAATCTGGAAATACATTTGCAGAAGAATGAAACAAGACCCAAATCTCACACCCTATGCAAAAACAAACTCAACATGGATTAAAGACCTAAACGTAAAACCTGTAACTATAAAAAGATCATCAATGAAAAAACAGAGACAAATTTAAGGGCTATATTACGTGGCATAAATACACTGCCAAACATTATTAAACACAAAGGAACAGTGTGAGATAAGATAGATTACTGGGACCTAGCAAAAATCAGGCTCTTATGTTCATCAGAAGATTTTGCCAAAAGAGTAAAAAGGGAGCTCACAGACTGGGAAAAAGGTTTTTATAAAATATATCAGATAAGGGATTAATCTCAAAATTTACAGAAAAGTAAAACACCTTTACAATAAAAAAAACAAAAAACCAACAAGCAACCCAATTAAAAAATGGGCACAGGAGATAAACAGACATTTCACCTAGGTAGCTATTCAGGCAGCCAAGTAACATGAGAAATGTTCACAAACATTAGCCATTAGAGAGATGCAAATCAAAACAAAAATGAGCAATCATTTCACCCAAGCATTAACAGCAAAGTTAAAAAAAAACCCAGAAAACAACCAATTCTGGAGAGGGGGATGGAGAGATTGGGACCTTCCTACATTGTGGGTGGGACAGTAAAATAGTTCAAGCACTCTGGAAAATGGTATGGTGCTTCCTCAGAAAGCTGGAAACAGAAATACTGTATGACCCAGTGATCCCTCTACTTTGTATAAATCCTTAAGAATATGAGCCAAGATATATGCACAGTTGATGTATGCACACCAGTGTTCATCACAGCACTACAAATAATACGAAAAGATGGAAACAGCCTAAATGCCTCTCAATGGAAGAATGGATAAAGTAAGCTTTGGTTCATACACACAATGGAATACTATGCAAAGTTGAAACATAACAATGATTCTGCGCAACACCTCAAAACATGGATGAACCTGGAGAACATTATGCTGAGTGAAAGGAGTCAATCATAAAAGAACAAATACTGTATGAGACCACTAATGTAAAAACTCAAGAAAAAGTTTTCATACTAAAAGAAACATTCTTTGATGGCTACTTGGTGTGGGAGGGAAGGGAGAGGAATTTATTGACTAGAGGGTAGACACATGTTAACTTGGGTTATGGGGAGGGCCATATACAAGAAAGGAGAGGGAAATATACAAGAAGAGGGAGATTGACAGACGAATGATAAAGACAGATGAAGACTCAGGAAGGTATGTAAGAGCTACAGGGGATAAGATAAATAGTGATATATACACAACCTTGGAACAACAATGTTCTGCAGGTAGATACATGGACAGAGACATAGACTGAATGGGTATGGGAGGAAGAGTTGGATATATTTTAACAAACATTTAAGAGTTTGAAATAGGATATTGGTACATGGGTACTTACCTTTCCTACAAACACAACTATAAATATGGTGGAGCATACAGTGGGCAAAATGATGAAAACTTCTTAGATACTATCAATATCTTAAGGCATTGAGTTGCTGGGCCTGGTGACTCAGGAACATTGTTGTCTCAGGGGACACCATGGTCAACTGGAATACACAGTCTACAAAGACAATTTTCTACACCCTACTTTGCTGGTAGTGTCTGGGATCTTAAGAGCTGAGAGGCCAACTAAGGTGCAACTATTAGTCTTTCCATGTGCAGAAAAAAGAATGATAAGTGTTTAAGAGGTTGGAAATCAATTAGTATAATGGACTAATGGAACATGTGAACATCGATCTCCATGATTCTGAGACCAGAAGAACAAGATGGTGTCTGGCTACCACTATCAACTGCTCTGAAAGGGATTATATTAGAAGATTCTGGATAGAGCAGCAGAATATGTGGAACAAAACTTAAAATTATTAAAAGAAAAAAAAAAAAAAAAGATGGGGCTTACTGGTTATTTTCCCTCCAGAAACAGACTGGAGAACTATGTATGGTCCACGATCACCCTTCAGATCTAGACAGAAACTCACTCTTGTGGCCCAACTTTCAGCCAAGCAACAGATAGGTATATAAGGGGAACAACAACACTAGTAAGGTATAATCATTATCAATGATGGAATTCAATTATTCAAGATCAAAAAGGCAACATTTACCTAAAGACAAAGTTAAGAAGGGATGGGAAGCCCAATCAAATGGAAAAAGGAAACACAGGGAGGAAGTGGGATTACTGTTGCTGCATGGAGGGTATTGTAAACATTGAGATGAAACAAAGTGTATGATTTGTTAAATGCAAAACTGATTATTTTGTCTGTAAACTTTTACTCAATTCAGAATAACAAGTTTTAAAAAATCAAAGGATGCATTGTATTGGGTAAATCTGCTGCAAAAGGCCTCTTTAAAATGTTAAGAACCAAGACTCACTATGAGGACAAAGGTGAGTCTGACACAGCCATGGTATTTTTAATCACTTTATATGCATATGAAAGCTGGAAAATGGATAACGAAGTATGGAGAAGAACTGAGACACTGAACTGTGGTGCTAGGGAAGAATATTGAAAGTACCATGGTCTGCCAGAAGAACAAACAAATCTATCTTGGAAGAAGTTCAACTAGAGTGCTCCATAGAAGCGATGATGGCAAGACTTTATCTCACATCCTTTGGACATATTATCAGGAGAGACCAGTGCCTGGAAAAGGGCATTATAACTGGTAAAGTAGAAAGTCACTGCAAAAGAGGCTGCAACAATGTGGCTGCAACAATGAATTCAAACATAGCAATCATGAGGATGGTGCTGGACAGGGCAGTGCACAGGGTCACTATGTGTCCGAACTGACTCGACAGTACCTAACAACAACAATTGTATCTTCAAACGTTTTTATTAGTTGTTATCAAGTAGGGATCTGACAAATAGTGACAAAATATAAACATAACAATGATGATTGGTCCTATGCCACTGTTGAAGCTAAGGCATCAATCCATTTCACTGAGTGTTTCCTTTGCTTTTGCTGAATATTACTCATATTCAAAAACACTCATAGTAATGCTTTATCTTTCTTTTAATATAACAAGATAAAACAAAATATTCCCAATAAAGTATGCCTTAATAATCTGAAAGCCATGGAAATATGTTATTTCTAGTCTATGAAAGAAGGCTATAGAGATACCAGGGTATCCCTACAGTTCAGAATTCATCACGTACTTGTAGGTAAAGCGCTTTAGGATCAGTACTGGGCTTTAAACCACAAGATCAGCAGTTCAAAACCACCAGATGCTTTTTGGAAACGCTATACAGGGGGGTCACTATGAATCAGAACTGACTTGATGGTACTTAACAACAACAAAAAAACTATAGGATATGATTGGATTATTAACAGTGAGGTCAGAGGCTTAAATCCAGCAGCTGCTCCTTAGAACAATATACCGGGTTGCTATGAGTTGGAACCGACTCCTTGACACTTTACAACAATAAAATGGAGTCCTCATGTCATGCTGTAAGATATTGGACTGATAACCACACGGTTGTCATCTCAAACCCACTAGCCACACTTAGAAACCTTATATAGAGTCACAATGAGTCACAAATGACTTGACGGCATATAACAAGAACAAACTGAATTCTGGCCAGAACATTTTTGGAACCAAATAGCTTAGTTGTGTGTGTGGTTTTTTTTTTTTCATTACAATGAGGCACAAAGTGACTAAACAGAACATTATGAAAGCAAAAATAGAGAAGATATAATCCTTCCTTCTGTGACACAGGTTCAGTATCTTCAAAATAAACTATGAAAGTATACATGAAATCAAAATAAAAATCTCTCACAGATCTGACAATTCCAGAACAGATATTCTAAAAACAGACTACCTGGGATATGTAAAACTATACCAAATTCTATAAATATGACAGAGGAAATGAAGACTTAACCAAAATAAAAGAAAAAAAAAAAGGTTTAATTTTCTCTCCTCAAAGAAAGTAAAAATGTAGACAAGTGAATGATATCTTTACCTTGCTCAGTGGGTTCTCTTACATAGGGCTTAAGGTGAGACATTTTGATGGGTCTTTTAAGCCTAGTTCCAGTGTTGTCTCTCAGGACTGCACATCCCTTTTCTGTAATATAGTCTATGACACAAGGGCCAATCCATTCAGACTGGAAACGACCATCCTTCCACCAGTTTTTCCTTTGTCTTAAAACTTCATGACCCACTTTTAGATGAAATGGATTTAATTGCTTTGGTTTCTTTTTAACATCGATCTTGCTTTTATTTACTGCATCAAAATTGTTGTTCTTCATCTACAAGCACCACCACCAACAAAAAAAGAAGAGAAAGATAAAAGAGCTACAATTTTTGAATATAGGTAATACTGTAACAGATATAAGGAGCTCTGTAGCATAGTAGTTACAAGTCGGGCTGCTAACCTCAAGGTCAGCAGTTCGAAACTACCAGCTGTTAGGTGGAAGAAAGATGAGGCTTTCTGGTCCCATAAAAATTTAGTCTCGGAAATCATATAAAGAGTCACTATAAGTTGGAACCGACTCCATAGCACATAACCACCACAAATATATTGAGGTGTTAGCAGAAGGTAGGCATGAATCCCATTTAATTCTTAAAAAAAATATTTCAAAGTGGTATTAGAACCTTTACTTCTTATAAAGTAACTGAGGTGGAAACAGGTTAAGTAATTTGCCTAAGTCAAACTAATGGAAAGCACCAAGATTAGGGATTTTAATCCATCTCTGCTTGAGTTTTCATATTATTTTGACTCTTGGACTAGCACAGCTAACAGACATAATGTTTAATCAAGATAAGCAGATTTTATAAAAAAATTATCTTAAGAGTATATATATGATGTACATATGTACCCTGAAACTTCAAAAACAAATGATCACTTTACTGATTATAGTTTTTTCTATTAAATAGAATCACCTGGCTTGATGAAGTTGTCTTATTTGCCATTATTTTATCAGCTTCTTTAATTGCATCTAGAATTTTAGCAAACATACTTGCATTATCATCATCCACTTCATGAAGGCTATCTGAAGTCTCAGGCATATTAGGATTTCGATTAAACATTTGAAAATATGGTGTATTTTTAGTAGGGTCCTATTTTAAGGAAGACAAACAGTAAATATTTATCTAGCCAAGAAATAATCACTCATAACTCAGAAGTATAAATTATAAAAAAGTACATACCAAGTGAGTTATATTGAAGGCAAATGAAATAGCTGATAGATGATCATCCCAGTTGTTTGGGTGGTCAGCACAGTGTTTGGATAAAAACGTTTTGATTGTGCTAGGTGTACTTTCAGTGAGGTCAACAGTTTGAGAGGCATGAGAAATTACAATTTGCTTTGTACCAAACAATTCATACAGTTCTAAGTTGATCTAAAAAATACGTTAAAAAAAAGTTGACTTTAAAAATTGGTACTCTTTCACAGAGGTTTTTTTTTTTTTTTTAAAGAGCTTGAAAAGAATTTGAATCTTGCCTTTCTCATTGACCTTTTTCTAACCTCTTTTGAGGACTAAATAAATTAATGTTTGCAAAGCACATAAAACAGTTTTTGGCAGGTAGTAAGTACTTTATAAGTCTTAACTTGTATTACTATTGTTGTTAATGATTCATGTTCAGGGCCTAAAAGGAACCAAAACGTTTAGAAAACTTCTAACAATAAACCGGATAAATGTAAAATAAACTTATTTTCCTACTTTCCCTCTTCTAAATGTTTAATGCAATAAACCACTGGCAGATATACTATTTTAAAAAACATTATAGTTCTTGTTGCTTAATTGGAATCAGACAAATAGTATCACAGTAAAGAAAAGTGAAACTAATGAATGAGACCATAACAAAACTGTATTTCTCAAGCTCGCTTGCAGGTGGGGGCAATCATATAACACAGTTCTGGTAAAAAATGATGTAGAAGTTTGGGGCTCTTAAAAATCATTGAGTAGACTCATCTGGTGCCTCCCTCCCTCAATCTCCTGCACATTGCCCATCCATTCTTTCTGACTAAAATGCAGAAAAGGCACTGCTGGTTCACACTGTGAACAAAGGATTTTGGGTGACATCCCAAAGAAGGTGGAACAGAAAGCTAGCAACATGGGTTCCTAATGACAGAGCTACCCTCCTAGGTTTGGACCACCCAGCCTTCTTTTGCATGAGTACAAAATAAACACTTGAGTTTATATACTCTGAAAAGGAGGAAAGTTCTCAGTTACTTGAAGTTTAATATAATGAAAAGTACTAATTCAGGCTGCCTCATTTTAATTAGTTAAAAAAACAAAACAATCCCAGAGAGAGCTTTAATCCAAAATCCTGAATGATAATTTTAAATTGTTGACCTTTGGGTGAGGGTTCACCTTTTTTCAAAAAGTTGCCAAGGAATGATGCAGTGAATGCATTTGTAAAATATCGCTGTTTTCAAGAGTCATTTTGCAGCTGGTGAGTTTGAACGGCCGACTTTGTGATTCAGTGCTTATCCTACAAAGCAACACTGAGAAACTGTCTTGATAGTGCTCTCCTTTGTTAATTATGTTTCTGATATTAACTAAATTTCTTAATTTGCTTAACTCTTTTATAATAAAGACATTAGCCCTTTTCCTCATGAATTTGTTTTAAATATTTTTCTTGGCCTTTTTTGTTTTGATGATTTTATATTTAAGTTTCTAATTTTTATGTGGCTAAAATTGATTATGTCTTTCCTTAAAAAAATGTTACCACTCTTAATAAACTTAGAATGTTACATACATCTGTAGATTTTAAAAAGCAATTTTATACATTTTTACTAATATTATGTTTCAATTACTACAAGTAGTTTATTAAGTATTTTAGACCTGAAAATAATGTTGGTATGTGATCTTACAAAACATAGTATATCTAATTGTTACCTATGTTAACTGATTAATTAAATAATCCTTTCCTACTCCACTCCATAAGGATCTCTGGTAGCGTAGTGGTTACGAATCGGGCTGCGAACCTTAAGGTCAGCGGTTCGAAACTACCAGCCGCTCCGCGGGAGAAAGATGAGGCTTTCTACTCCCGTAAAGATTTACACCCTCGGAAACCCTATACAGGGTCGCTATGGGTCGGAACCGACTCAATGGCACTTAACAACAACAACAACATAAAAATTACTACTCTGAGGTTGTTCACAGTTCACAGCATTAGATTGTTACATTCCTTTCAATGGTGTAATTTCTTTGTAGAACTGGTATTTTGGCAGACACTGTGATTAAAAAAAAAAAAAAGGGGGAAGACCCCCAACGAGATTGACTGGCCAGGTGGCAGCATCGATGGACTCAGAGCGGCAACAGTAGTGAGGTTGGCCCAGGATTGGGCAGTGTTTCGTTCTGTTCTGCATAGGGTCACTATGAGTTGGTACCGACTCGATGGCAACTAACAACAACTATGTAAAAATCAGTATGGTGCCATTATTCAATCTTATCCAAAGTCTGAGAAGTTGAGCAGTGTTCAACAGATAAACACATCCCATTAATAACTATGGCTGTTTTTTTTAATGGTTACTAAGAGGTTAGGACATAAGAGTTTATTAAGTTGTTAGGAATTAAGTTTGTTATTCTTTGAAAGGCATATTTACGAGATTGGCCTTTGGCTGGTGTCTAGGGAACTTAGATTTCAGGAGGGTTACCAAAACCAACATTCCCTAGCAGATAAGGGTGGTTCACTGTGCCTAAACTATTTGTATAAACAATGTAGTTTATGCTGATGTTTGCTTTCCTGTTCAAGTGTGGAATTTTGATACATGTTATGCAGGGAGTACCTATGTGAATAGCCTTTAAGAAAAACCCTCAGCACTGAATCGCACATGAACGTACCTGGTGGACAATATTTGGCACATATTGTCAAAAGTCATTGCTACTGGAATCAAGCACATCCTGTGTGACTCTAGGATATGACAGTTAAGAAACCAGAAGCTTGCATCTGGTTTCCCTACACATTTCCCTATTCACCTTTTTTCTTTGCTGATTTTGTTTTGTACACTTTTGCTATAATAAATTTTAGCCATGAGAAGGACTACACGTTGAATAGTCCTAGTGAATCACTGAAATTAGGGGTGATATTTGGGACTCCCAACATAGGACCTAACTACTTAGTAAGCTTTCAGTATTTTTTTTAAATTGAACACTCAAGAGTTTTGAGAACAAAGGGAGGCTGGCTATCTTTGATTATAATCAGCACTCCATCAACTGTAACAAAAATTAAACAGCAGTAAGTCTAGTAGTCCTTACATTTCTTTTTTAGAATTTGTATATATATTATATCAATTACCTGCTGTTCTTTTAGGGTAATCTGGGAAAAGACCAGGGCAAAGAAAAAAATTCCTGTCTTTAATATCAAATTAAAAATAATAATATAAAATTAATTTCAATTTGAGACAAATCAATATCTTTCAATATTGAGTATTCACATTTGTTAACAAAATGTCTCCATTCAGTCAAGTCCCTGTTTACATATCAATCATAGAATATTTAAACTAGAAGGAAACAAAAAGTATAGGTCTGTTCTCTTCATTTTAATTTGAGAATACCTGAAGACAAATTTACAATTATTTAGTGGCACAAAACATACTAAAATCCTGGTTTCCTAATTTCTAGTCCAACCACCTTTGAGGTATGTAGCATGATAACTCTACATTTATAACAATTTAACTGTACTTCTTGTTGTTATGTGCCGTCAAGTCAGTACTGACTCATAGTGACTGCAATACAACAAAACAAAACATGCCTGGTCTTATGTCTTCCTCACAATCATTGTTATGTTTGAACCAACTGTTGTAGTCATTGTGCCAATCCATTTCATTGAGGGTTCTCCCCTTTATTGCTGACCTCTACTTTACCAAGCATAATGTCTTCTCCCCAGGAACTGGGGAAGTTCTTAAAAACATGTTCCAAGTTAAGTGAGACAAAGTCTCATTTACTTGTTTGTAAAGAGCATTCTGGCTGTAGTTCTTTCAAGACAGATTTGTTTGTTCTTCTGCAAGTCCATGATACATTCAATATTCTTCCTCAACATCACAACTCAAATGTATCAATTCTTCTTCAGTGTTTCTTATTCACTATCCAGCTTTCACATGCTAATGAGGTGATGAAAAATACCTCGTTTTGGGTCAGGAACAGCTTACTTCTCAAAGTGATACCTTTTGCTTTTTAACACTTTAAACAAGTGTTTTGCAATAGCTTTGCCCAAGGTCACATGACTACATTTATTACAACTATGCTTATTAAGCACCCTGTAATGCATAGGACACCCAGAAATGGCCATTGAAAGATTAGTAAGACCTAAGTAATTTGCCTTACCTGATGAATAAATTCATCTCTTTGGTCCATTATTATTTTCTGAGGAGGTCCATATAAGAAGAAGATATTGATAATAGCTTTAGAAATTTCAGATGCTGAAACATCATGTAGAGGCAAAATCACAACCCATTTTGTGAACAAATCTGTCATGATTATAGCATATAAATGACTTCTGTTGCTTGTATGAAAAGGTCCCATCAGATCAACAGTAACTATACTCCATGGATTTTCCACCTTAATAAGGTGCTTTTTAGGTGCTAGAATAACGGCATTTTTTGCAAGTTGGCAATGCTGACAAGCATATACCTACAAAATAGGCAAATAATAAAAATATAGAAATGTTAATATATTCAACATAATAAAAGCAATTTCATAAATCGGAATTTTAGATTGGTTAACGGGTACTCTGTTTTGACAGAGAAGCTTTGAAATTGAGAATATGTCACTATGATAAGCTGTCTATTCAGAATAAGTTTTTGCGTTGTTGTTACTACTATTATATAACCTTCTTAAAGGCTTTATTACGTAGAACATAATTCTGGCTCAGATTCAATAAATATTTATTAAGTAAATCTTAAAGTAAGTTTGAATCAGTGTGTGAAAATACAATAATGATTATCTGTATGTTTTCTGAGTTATCACTTTAAGAAGTTAATTCACTAATCTATTCGTAGCATAGTGGCTTCGAATTGGGCTGCTAACCTCAAAGGCGGCAGTTCGAAACTACCAGCTGTTCCGCAGGAGAAAGATGAGGCTTTCTGCTCCCGTAAAGATTTACAGCCTCAGAAAACCCTGTGTAGGGTCACTATGAGTCGGAACTGACTCCACGGTACTTAACAACAACAACATTTGAACAATATTTATTAAAGTACAATTTTATGCACACATATTTATTCATGCCAGAAACTGTTGTGGGTCCTGAGAAAAGACAGTGAACAAAAACAAAGTTATCCTGGATGATCAGCTGATCAACTTATTGCTGGTTCTACTGCTCAATATTATTTCTGGAACCTTTGGAAAACACTCTCAAACCAACTTCTCTGTAAAAATTAAAAAACACTATATTACAGTCACAGTAGCTTTTGATCGAAAGTTTATTTTCCAATTTATTCTCTGGTTTTCAACACAAGCAACTTCTAATTATTTAAAAAAATCATATCCATTGTCAAATGATAAATCTCTTGCAAAAATTCCACTGAACATTTGTAAAAGAATGTGTAGCAGGTTCTAAAGACAAAACCATATAAAGAGGTCTTTGGGATACCTGCACAGACTCAAACTTATAATTTATAAATGATACTTAGTCAAATGTTGGTTTAATCCTTTATGGCTGAAATGCCAGTCTTTGTGATGCACTAGTGCTGTTGTTGTTCAGTGCCATTGAGTTGGTTCGGACCCACAGCAACCCTGTATTGTGTTTCCAAATTAGGGCTGGTGGGTTTGAACTGCTGACCATGCAGTTAGCGGTCCAGTGCTTATCCTGCCGTGCCACACCAGAACTGATGTACTATTAGCAATTATTAAAGGGATTTTACCATTTGGCAAATACAGTAGGGATCAGTTGACTTACCAGTAAAACTCGAGATAAATTTATTATTAGAGGTTGAAGTCCAAATAGGTTGTAATCTAAAATAAAAAACCAAACCTACTGTCACTGAGGCAATTCTGACTCACAGCAACCATCGAGTACAGGGTAGAACTACCATATATGGTTCTTAAGGCTGTAAATCTTTACAGAAGCAGACTGTCATATTTTTCTCTTGCAGAATACCTGGTGGGATCAAACCACTGACCTTTCAGTTAGCAGCCAAGTGCTGTAGCCACTGTGTGACCAGGACTCTTAAAATAGTTTTAAAAGGCAGACTAATTTCCTTATCATTATAATTAGATTTTGTATTATTTGATTTTGGATTTCAGTCATATTCGACATTTTCTGCCTCAAGATAGAACTGGCACAAAAGATGAGCTCACATCTCGGCACTGACTTGAAATGCGATCAAAGATGCAATGATTTTGTCAAACACACTTGATGCTATTATTGTGTGTCCTTGAGTTGGTTCTGACTCATAGTGACCCTTATGGGGTTTCCAAGGCTGTAAATCTTTACAGGAGCAGAAAGACTCATCTTTTCCTCATTGAGCAGCTGGTGGATTAAATTCTGTCTACATGCAAAATTCAACAATGTAAATCTGGTCATAAATGATTTCCTATCTAAATCTGGTATTTTAAAAGGTTTAAATAAATCTATTCTAGTTCAAGTTATACTTTAGTGATAGTAATGAAAAATTATGAAGTGAAATGAAACTCTAAATATTTTTGTAAAAAAAAAACTAGCCATACAAAAAGTACTTAATGGAAGTTGACACCTTGAACAAATCTAGCAAAATAGATTTTCAGATAGCTGTTACAAAGATGGAGTCCTGGTATGACACTATAGGATAAGCACTGGACTGGTAACCACAGGGTTGGTGGGTCAAATACAGCAGATGGTCCTTGGAAACCATATACAGAATCAGAACAAACTTGATAGCACTTAACAACAACAACAACAAATTATAAAGACAGAGCTCTGGTGTGGCACTGTAGGATAAGCACTGGGCTGATAACTGCAAGGTGACAATTCAAACCTACTAGTGCAGCCAGAGTGCTCCTTGGAGACCAGGATGGCCAAACTTCATCTCTCATACTTCAGACATATTGTCAGGAGGGACCAGTCTCTGGAAAACGATATCATCTTTGGTAAGGTGGAGGGTCAGAGAAAAAGAGGAAGACCCCCCGCAGGGAGATGGACTGGCAAAGTGGCAGCATCAATAGGCTCAAGTGTGGCAACAATAGTGAGGTTGGCCCAGGAACGGACAGTGTTTTGTTCTGCTGTGCACAGGGTCACTATGAGTTGGTACCGACCAGATGGCACCTAACAACAACAACAACAGCTGCTTCCAGAAACTCTCATCAGGGTTGCTATGAATCAGAACTGACTTGACAGCACACAGCAACAACAACATTACACAGATATTATTCAAAATATTCTAAATACGCAAGCCATACCCACTGTTTGACATCATTGGTCACAGAAGTCCAATAATAGCTGGATTCCACTAAAGTGAGGGTTCTGGATATGCCATGATGGGTCCCAGTGTCATTTTCATGGCATTCTCTCAGGACTTTCTTTTTTTCCTCTTCTGAAACGATTACCAAACGATTTTGTTGTCTGTCTTTTCCAACATAAAATAGCTTTTTCTCTGAAATAAATGGTACCAAAAAGAATCAGACTTTAAACACTGGACTACTAACCACAAGGCTGGCAGTTCAAACCCACTAGCCACTGCCTGTTATGAGTCAGAGCCAATTTGACAGCTCTCAACAACAACAACATAGTTCTAAGGTTGTTGTTGAATGCTATCACGTTGGTTTCAACTTGTAGTGACCCTGTATACAGTTGCTGAGGCTGTAAATCTTTACAGGAGCAGAAAGACTCATCATTTTCTCTCAGAGCCACTGGTAGCTTCAAACTACTGACCTTGCTGTTAGTAGCCCAACTCGTAATCCACTACGCTGCCAGAGTTCCTTTTATCTCCCCACTAAAACAAAATATTTATTTGTAATGGTGCTATTATTCAATCTGAAAAGTCCTTAGCTGTTACAAGTACTAGATCTCTAGAAGGATCACTAGTGGCTATAATTTTACAAATTATAAATATAAAGGAGTGCTGGGCTGTTCATCAAAGCAAATAATAATCATGAGAGTATATTACCTTTGTGTAACATTCAAATAGGAAAACACTTACAGGTTACCTTCTAAAACTGGCACAAATTAGCAAATACATTATGTACAGGGAAACAGCAATTAAGAAATCTAAAGACATACTGAATTAGACAAATCTGCTGCAAAGATCTCTCTATAAAGTGTTAGCGAGCACCTTTAACACTAAGGTGCACCTGACCTAAGCTATGGTATTTTCAATCACCTCAACTACATGCAAAAGCTGGATAATAAATAAGGAAGACTGGAGAAGAATCAATACATCTGAATGGTGTGGTAGAAGAATATTAAAAGTACCATGGACTACGAGAAGAACAAACAAATCTGTCTTGAAGGAAGTACAGCCAGAAAGCTCCTTAGAAGTGAGGTTGGTGAGAGTTTATCTCACATATTTCGGACATGTAATCAGTAGGGTACAGTCTGTGGAAGAGAATGTCATGCTTGGCAAAGCCAAGAATCAGTGAAAAGAGGGAAGACTTCCAATGAGATGCATAGACGTAACAGCAGCAACAATGGGTTTCAACCTGGCTCAGGACCAGGTCGTATTTTGTTTTGCTGTACATAGGGTCACTATGAATCGGAACCAACTTGATGGCACCTAACAACAACAACAAGCAAAATCCTAACACAAAATTTCCCCCCAATATCATTACAGCTAAATTTTTAAGCAACAACCTCTTTCAGGTTCCTTCTGGATTTGAGCTGGAGATGCAGAAAGAAGAGAGGGAAAGTGGGAGAGCCTTAATCCTCAAAAAATTTCTTTTTCCTTTCTTGGGAGGACACCTCAGAAGAAACCATAGAATGGAAACAGGCATAGCTATAGAAAACAGTACCTATGGCAAGTATTGACTCCCATCTTTTAGATAACTATGGTATCAGTTCAAAAATAAAAGTCAAGCTTGTTAATCTTAACACATTACAGCACTATATGAAAATTACAACTAACTACATCTTATTTGCTTTCACTGATGAAAATTGATGTGTGATGTGCTCAAAGTCATTCCGCCCCCCCCCAGTTTTTTCTCTTTATATACTCAGCAGAGCAAGATCACAGAATTTGCCTTGACCCATGGAGGCTTTCAAATATGAAACAAAGTTTTAATTTGCTGAATGAGCTCTCATAGTTGGCAATGGTAACTACAATGGTTGCTAAACTGCTCAATGTCATCCCCCTTCAACTGTTTTCCAGGGCACATGCCATACCTGCCACAGCTTAGATTTGCCCCTGAAAAAAAGTACCACCACCCTTCAATGTAGATAGGCAGCAATTCAAACTTCAGAACACACCACTAAGCTATTAGTGTGCCTAAGCATATACTTAGTGGAACACACCTTCCTTCTACTTTCTTATATTGCTCATTAGTAGATCCCCAAGGCCTAGAATGTGATAATCACATAGTTGCTGTTGTTGTTAAGTGCCGTGGAGTTGATTCCGACTCATAGTGACCTTGATTAGGATTTCTGAAGAAAATTCAGCTGTGGGTTTGAATGGCTGACCTCGGGGTTAGTAGTCTAGTGCTAATACTACAGCACCACACCAGGCCTCAGTAAATATGTGTTGCATAAATGGGTAAAGACTGAAGGACTCCTTACCCTAACCTAAGGGAGAAGGGGTTTATTCTTTGGCAGAAGAGAGTTACTGGAACAAGTGTACACAGGAAAAACATTATCATCTTATAATTGTCTTGACATTGCTTTGGAGAAAACCTCATCCTGAACCTATAGGGAAGACTCCCAATAATATTACCAACATTCATATAGTTAGTTATCTGTGATCGTCCCTGCAGCATATCTAAAGCCAAACGGTTTTCCTCCTTTGTAGTAAGGGACAAAAAGGGCAAAACATTGTCATAACCTTTTATAATCTGTATTCTAGCACTTTTACAATGTTCCACTCAGGGGAACTTTGGGTCAAAAACAAATGTAATCTTAACGATATTTAATGATAGTGGGAAGTCAGGCCATAGAAACAAATATAGTAATTCCTTCTGTTTTTACCTTAATAAACAAATTCATTAACTTTTCCAACAATTTCACATTAAGCATCAATCCAGTTTCTCATTAATAGTGGCACTGGTGCTTGAAAGTGTACCATTAGAGTAAGAATCACCTCAGTTAGCAAAAGCAGGGGAAGTTAATTTACCTTAGTGCTCTATTTTCTTTCATGGTACCATATTTTGTTTGTGATTTGAACTGTCCTTTTCATGTCTACTGGCCTTCAGTCATCTTAGGTATATTTTTATTTTCCTTTTTACTGAGTAACATCATCTTTTTACTATTACTTGTTAAGCAACAATCAATCCAATAATCCAAATTCTCAGGATTTCACAAAGCACGTATGTGGAAAAGCAATTAAATGAATTCTATAGTCACGGTTTTGCACATTAATTTTACCTTTGAAGACAAATTTTTTGGCTGCTCTTCTTATGCCACTTCTCTCACTTGGTAGTGTAGTTGGATGATATTCACCAGTTCGTTTATAATATGCTATCTGCTTCAGATGAAGGTCACCATTTTTTCCACTACGGACCATCGTTAACCTAGGGAAAGGTATTTAAAAATAGAGTTTGCATTAGCTAATTCAGTTGTTATTTTAGTTCAGGCTTCTGCTTTCATATGACATTAACTTTCCCAGAATATTATCTGAGGGGGTTAATTGTAGTACAGAAAAGGAATAGAGTGATGCATAAGAACTAAAATATTCAAATGCTATTTTTGAGACACATCATGACAAATTATCTTGTCTTTTTCCATGTGAAAAGAAACGGTGAACTTTCCATATACTGGGGGAGAAAAACAGGAAATGAACAAGCACACTTAGAAAAATCTTGCCTAAAGTCTCCGGTTGCCATCAATTGCAATGTTACATACAACTGTCCTGTTATGTGACACTTGATAATAGGTTATAAGGGAAGAAAAGATCATTTTATATTACTACTAACATGGACTCCTGGTGTGACACAGTAGGATCAGCACTGGACTTTGAACCACAAGGTTGGCAGTTCAAACCCACCAGCTGCTTCTCAGAAACCTTATTCAGAGTCGCTATGAGACTTAATGGCACTTAACAACAACTAAACATATTCTTGGTCGCTGCAAAACGCAAAACAAAAATCCCAACAACTCTTCAAATAATATATGAGAAATATATACTTTGGTAATTTGTTCAAATGACAAGTAACAGGAGAAGATAATTAGTTAGGACAAATTTCATACACCTTTCTGAACTAACTACCTGCGAGCTTTTTTTTTTCCTTAAAAAAGGAATGCTTTCTGGTCATTTGAATACTTTGGGTAATAAAGCATGATCTGGCTGCAGATTTTTATTCTACAAAGTAAATCCCACAACAATGCGGAAGACAGGTTGGGGTGGAGAGGTGGGAGGGTTGTTCCAGATTAGCTACAGGACTAATTGCATAATTAAGAGAAGAAATGATAAAATCTGAGTTAAAACAGTATTATTGGAAATGGATTTGGACAAATGGAAAAAGATTCCAGAATTGAAGATGTTGTATTCGGCTCACGAATGAATTAGTAGATAGATAGCTGAAGTTAAGGCACTGGAAGAATGATCACATGGAAAGTGTACAGACTAAGAAGAATAGTGGTCATAGCCTTATCCTTCAACAGTCACATTAATGTAGAATCCTTTCTAATTGTATCTCCTTTCCCCGCTCAGGTCACTGTGCACACACCTTCCTTGGTACACCCACAATAACATGTACTGACTTGTATCATAAAGTCTGCAACACTTTGTTGCACTTACTCGTTCACACATCACTCTTCCAAATACACTGTAAATTCTTCAAGGGTATGGGAATATAGAACTAGAACAACAACAACAAAAGAATCCAGAGGTTCTGAATTTTAAGAAGTAATGATTTCTTCATTGGTGGTGGTGGTGGTGTGACGTGGAGTCAGTTCCAACTCATCACCACACAGTGTTTCCGAGGTTGTAAATCTTTACTGGAGCAGAAAGCCTCATCTTTCTCCCTTGGAACGGCTGGTAGTTTAGAACTGCTGACCTTGAGGTTAGTAGTCTGACTTGTAAGGTTACATAGTAAAGGAAATAAAATTTCTAAAAGGTGGTTTTGACGGTAGAAACCAGACTGCAATACAAGCTGGCATGAAAGGGCATTGAGAAAATGGGATTTAATAAACTTAAGCTTACTTTGAAGACAAGGAGCTACAAGACAGGTGCTGGAGAGAGCTATGGGATCACTGACTGATTGAACAAATATTATCGAGCACCTGCTATGTGTCAAAGAACTCTTTCTTCCCTGAAAATTTTTATCTACAAAGATTTCCTTATAAAGAGTTTGAGATCTCCTTCTCAGTAACTGTGGTTAATGTTTAGTAGTAATGTTTATTGATAATGTTTTACTACTAACAGCAAAGTCCAGATGACTCAAGTTATACACTTTATGTTGTTGCTGTTAAGTGTCACCAAGTAGGTTCCGACTCACAGCGACCCTGTACAGGGTTTCTGAGGAGGCTGGTGAGTTTGAACCACCAATCTTGCAGTTCAAACGACTTTGCAGTCCAGCGCATTAACCCACAGTGCCACACCAGGACTTCTATATACTTTATAATGAGTATATATAATCTTGTGTGGTTCACAAACTGCTGGCCATGGCAGGAGAGAGAAAAATGAAGATAGAAAGAAACAGAGAAATAGAAAATTCATCAGAATGAAAAATCAGTTCACAAAAAGCAGTCATTTAAGTAGGTAGTGACACTTGCTGCAAGTATTTGCTATTCATGCACATATAAAGAGCTTAAGAAAACCCAGCAATAGTTTTCCTTCTCAATGTATATGGGAATTTTCAAAAAGTTCATTGAAAAAGTCCACCATCCTTTTTCTATAAAGTTTTTGAAGCCCCCTCGTATTTACAAGTTGACCCCTAAGACAAAGCTATGTATTTGTTGTTGTTGTCAGGTGCCATCAAGTCGGAACCGACTCATAGCGACCCCATGCACAACAGAATGAAACAATGTCCGATCCTGGGCCAACCTCACTACCGCTGCCACACTTGATTCCATCAATGATGCCACCTGGCTGATCCATCTCGTTGGGGGTCTTCCTCTTTTTCTCTGACCCTCCATCTTACCCAGCATGACATCCTTCTCCAGTGACTGTTTCCTCCGGACAATATGTCCAAAGTATGAGAGACGAAGCTTAGCCACCCTGGCCTCCAAGGAGCATTCTGGCTTCACTTCTTCCAAAACGTATCTATTGGTTCTTTTGGCAGCCCATGGCACTTTCAGTATTCTCCTCCAACACCACAACTCAAAGGCATCAATTCATCTACGATCTTCTTATTCGCTGTCCAGCTTTCCCATCCATATGTGGTTATTGAAAACACCATGGCCTGGGTCAGGCGCACCTTAGTCCTCAAGCTGACATCTCTGCTCTTCAATACTTTAAAATGTTGATAGCTGATCCAAGAAGAATGAAGTCCTTGACAACTTCAATCATTTCTCCATTGATAAGAATGTTGTTTATTGGTCCAGTGGTAAGGATTTTTGTTTTCTTGACATTGAGATGTAATCCATATCGAAGACTGTGCTCTTTGATCTTCATAAATAAATGTTTCAAGTCCTCTTCACTTTTCAGCAAGGAGCTCTGGTAGCATAGTGGTTACGAATCGGGCTGAGAACCTTAAGGTCAGCGGTTTGAAACTACCAGCCGCTCCGCGGGAGACCGATGAGGCTTTCTACTCCCGTAAAGATTTACACTTTTGGAAACCCTGTACAGGGTCGCTATGGGTTGGAACCGACTCAACTGCACTTAACAACAACATGTATTTGAGTATTAGTTAAAAAGGGGAGCTCTGGTAACGTAGTGGTTATGAATCAGGCTGCGAACCGCAAGATCAGCAGTTTGAAACTACCAGCTGTTCCGAAGGAGAAACAGGAGGTTTTCTGCTCCCGTATAGATTTACAGCCTCGGAAACCCTGTACAGGATCGCTATGAGTCGAAACCGACTCCACGGCACATAGCGACAACAACATACTCAAAGGTAGAATCCTGGTGTGGTGATGTAGGATCAGCACTGGACTGTTAACCACAAAGTTGATGGTTCAAAACCACCAGCCACTCCTTGGAAATTCTATATAGACTCAGTGGTACTTCACAAAAACAACATACTCAAAAGTTGGAGATGCTCATATATTCAAGAATTTTTGTTAAAGTAATTTTTTGTGTATTAAAACATACCAAGAGTAAGAAAAGGTAGCTAATTATAGCTTCTAGTTTTGGAAGGGGATTATCAGTCATATTTGATTGAGTTTTTTACACGATGTCCCTTGCACTTCATATAAAACCAACAGATACCAGCATAAACACTATTGTCTAATTCCTCTGATAAGTCTGTGTGTGCAATGAAAGAAGCTTAGTATCATTTTGATTAAAATTATGTTTAACCAAAAGCAACAACAGTCAGGGTTACCAATTTAAGCCTCAAAAAATAAAGTACGCATGTTTCAACTTATTTCTTAAACTTGTAATCTTTCAGCAAACACGTTAATTTAGAATCAAATGTCGACTTCTAAGTTTTTCTATATTAATATCTGAAAAATAAAAGTGAATACTTTTCTGTAATGTTGTCAAAGGCTGGAAAATAAATACCAGATACATTTGCTTCATTTCAGCATACAATATTATTTAATACAAATGCCTTGTCTCCCATTAGGCATATGCATAAAGCCACAAGAGATAAGTGAATTTCCATTTTGCAAAATTACTTTTCTACTTTGGCCTCATTTAAGAATAACCCAGATTGCTAAGAAAGATAATACTTTCCCCTTAAAACTAAGCGATGATACCCTTCAAATTTGCAATTACGACAAAAAGGGTACTCTCCCAGATCAATTGACATTTATGAGATGGCAGCTACATTAGAAAGTAAGGGGGGAATTCTTCAAGTGCCACCTTCAATCTTTTAATTTATCCACTGTTCGGAGTCTGGGACGCTACTTTAAATGCGAAGGAACATTTCCTGAGCGTTTTGGCAGTTGGCTAACTGGTTCTTGAGGGCAAAGTCCGACTGCTCTTCTAGTTGTTAGGTGCCGTGGAGTCGGTTCGGACTCATAGTGACCCTGTACAGGGTTTCCGAGGCTATAAGTCTTTACGGGAGTAGAAAGCCTCACCTTTCTCCCTTGGAAGGGCTGGTAGTTTCGAACTGCTGATCTTGCAGTTCGCAGCCCGATTCGTAGCCACTACGCTACCAGAATTCCCAAGCACTAAGTAAAACTCGTTTTCACAAGTAACACTGCAGGCTTCACAACAGTTCGCTAGGGACGTTTCAACGCCAAAGGCCCTCCCACTCCAAGGGCGCCTGCGCAATCTCCACAGAGCGCATTAAATCCTTTTATTTAGGTCGGCCGAAGCGAATGGTTTTGATATTATCGTCAAGTCACGCCTCACATAAAAAATCACTAGGTAATGACAGCGCACATCAGAACGACCACTCACCAAGGTGGTCCTTAACGCAAACGACAGGATTTAAGCCTCTTCTCGCGACTTATCTGGTGCCGCCGGAAGCGGAACTACCCGGATTGTTAAGAGAAGAGTGCCTCTGAAGACCGCGGAGCATTGTCGTGAAAGGTTAGGGCGGACCGTTTGGCTCTAACCGGAAGTTGTTCTGCCCGGATAGGTTTCTGACTGATACCCGAGGCTGGCGGGGAGGAGGCGTGGTTGAGCTTCGTGCAGTGAAGCAGTTCCTTGTGGCTATTTAGTTGCTACTGAAGGTAGAAGACGCGTGCTTTCATTAGCAGTCTCTTGATGTAGCCTTTGGCCTCCCACCTGCCCCCGGAACCGAGACCCGAATGGGCTCGAGCATCTTCAGTAGCCCGAATGACGACCGCAGTCGTGGCAGGTGAGGGTACCGAGACCGAAGAAGAACAAGGGTTGCGGCTGCTGCTGGGCAGTTGCTTTTTATCTTGCTGCGCTCTGCAGATCCTGGACGCGCTCTTCTCTAAAGGACTAGTGCGGAAGTGAATGGAAGCATGGTCGGGGAGGAGTGATAGTACAGCCCTGAGGATCCCTTTTGCTTTCTGATTTCCATTTTTCCTTCCCCATTGTTTCCTCTTTTCATTTCGAGAGCTTGTGACGCCAGTTTTCATTTTTGCCTCCTCTTCCCCTAAGTGGGCAATCTGAAGTTTGGGGATTGCTGTGAGTAGGGATGAGTTTTTATTTTCTTAGTCTTTATCCTTTTTCTGTTCCCTTAGCCCATTCGCACTTTAAAAAACAAAAAGTCCCATATTCTGCAGCTTCCCATAGTACTAATAAAGGCTGCAGGTAAGTCACGGTGACACCTCCTCTGCTGAAAGATGTTGCATCCTTGCGCAAGGGGCTAGGACGGTAAGTGAGCATTGGATTTCACTCACTAAGGTTATTGACGACCTTTCAGGAGTAGGTAGGTGCTTTAGCGTGCTCGCAGGCTAAGCTGGTGGAAGTAGGAAGCATGGTTGACTTGAGCTCCTAGCATCCTTGCTTTCCACTGAGACACGATTTTGTTTTGCTACAGAAAATTCTTCAGTGAAATACCCAGTTGTTGTTTTAGGCAGATATGTCAAATATAATGGTTGTTTGTTGTTAGTGCCGCCGTGGAGTCAGTTTCGACCCATAGCGACCCTGTATAGAGTCTCTTTGCAGTTAGCAGTCCAGTGCTTATCCTACAGTACCACAGCTGCCATTAACTGAATCCTTGATGGTGCTGAGTGCTTTACAGAATTTGTCATTCAATCCTTTGAATTCCATGAGTTAGATAATACTAGTCTCACCATTTTACAGAGACAGAAATAGGTTTAGGTTAACTCACCCAAGTTAATGCTGCTGGTAAACTTCTGAGACTGTATTAAGAAACAAGATCTGACTCCAAAACCTATATCCTTAACAATTATACGACCATCATAGTTCCCCATTCCTTTAGTAATAGTTTCAGTTGCTGAAAGTATTCGTTCATTTAAAATGTGTGTGTGCCAATGTATGCGTTTGACAAATGACAGGCATGAGCTTCAGTATTGTGACACAGAATTAAGCAGTTCAGAATCCAAAATACTAACAAACTAAAGCAAGTGATTAAACTGATTTGTATAAATTTCAGTATTGTGTGGTTTAAATTTTAAATTCATGTGATTTTCATGGTGATTGTTGCAAAGGCATTATACTGAACAACTTGTCCAGTATTCACTGATTGCCCAATAAGTGCCATGTGCTGGTGTGGTGATGTAGGATAAACATTGGACCTCTAACTACCAGGTTGGCAGCTCATACCCACCAGCCGCTCCTCAGAAACCCTATACATTGGAACCTACTCAATGGCACTTAACAGCAGCAACAGCAGCAACCTAGTTAAGTATTGGGGATATATAGATGATGTGCTTGCTCTTTCAAAAAAATCCCATACAACTGAATATCGATAGTATTCTGGAAGTTAATTTTATTAGGTGTATACATAGTATTGTGAGTGTTTCTATTTTTAGGCAAACCATACTATTTAGAGATGACATGTTGATATCTACAAGTTTCAAGTGGTATAGAAGATCTATAGGTAAAGTAAATATGGCAAAATATTGGCAATTATTGTGTCAGTCCAGTGATGAATATGTGAGTGTGTAGTAAATTGTCTTTTAAATTTTTCTGAATATTTGAAAATTTTCATAATAAAAAATTGGGGAGAAAAAAATAACAGATGGAAACAATAATTGTAAAGATAGATTCAAAATGCTGTGGAGCACCATGGATGTGTATTTGGAGAATGGTAATGAAGAGATAGTTATCAGAAAAGGATTCGTTGTAGATTACAGTTGGCTATTGAAAGACAAATAGATACTTTCAAGTATGGTAGTGAATTACAGACAAAAGGAAAGGCAGGTTCGGCAAAAAGGTATTATGTAAATGTTTGAAGGAGAAAAATCAATATGAAGGTTGTGTGGAAATTGGAATGTACTTTTCTGTATAAATAATTTTGCCAGCCTGCAGAGGCCTGCTTAATGATCTATTATATAACTGTCCTAATAGTACCCTGAAACGGAGTCACCACTAATAACAATGTTTCCATTGAAAAACACTTTTAGAGTTTCAGTAAAGCTAGTTATGGATCTATGTTGGCACTGTGTCTCTCATTTCTTTAGATGCTCAGAGCAGGGATTTTCTAGTTCTTAACTCCTCAGGGAACCTATCCTAAGAACTACAGTGTTGGCTTGGAAAGATTTTAAGTTCCAATAAAACTAATTAATTCATCAATTGCCTTAGAGTCTGTTTTGACTCTTAGTGGCTCCATGTGTATCAGTGTAGAACTGTGCTCCCATGGCCAATTTTTCAGAAGTACATCTCCAGACCTTTCTTCCAAGGCACCTCTGGGTGAACTTGAACCTTTTGATTAATGACCAATCATGTTAACCATTTGTACCATTCAGGCATTCCTAAGTTCAGGTAAGAGGCACTGTATAAATAGTATGTGGGACTCATGTTGTTAAGTGCTGCTGAGTCAGTTCTGACTCATAGCCACTCTGTATAGGGTTTCTGAGGAGAAGCTGGTGAGTCTGAGCCTCCAACCTGGCGAGTCATACTGACTTTGGGGTTTGTATTGACCTTGAAGTCCAGTGCTTATCTTGCAGCATTATATCAGGACCTTTAGGTGGGACTGATAGATGAAAAAAAAAGATAAAAAGTATCATTTTAAGGTCTAGGTAGCTTTGCTGGAGGCCAGTAATGTGGGAAGAATGGAAAAAATGTGATGAGGTTTCCAGCAGCAGCAGTGGCAAAGGAGTTTGTGTGTCTTCAGTAGCTGAGCAGTTAGTAGGTATATGATGTCTTCAATGTCATCTCACAACTCATCTGTTCTTTTGTCATTAGTGGTCATTGCATTTCAAATATAATCTTGAGATGGTCTTTAAATTAAGGTGGAGTATACTCATGGTCGTATTCGAATTGGGCTGTGAACCTTAAGTCAGCAGTTTGAAACTACCAGCCACTCCGCGGGAGAAAGATGAGGCTTTCTACTCCCGTAAAGATTTACACCCTCGGAAACCCTGTACAGGGTCGCTATGGGTCGGAACCGACTCGACGGCACTTAACAACAACAATACTTGTTTTAATTTTCTTCAATTTCAGCTTAAACTTGCATATGAACAATTGATGATGGTCTGTTCTGCATTTGGGTCATTTGGCCTTTTTCTTACTGATGATATGGAACTTTTCCATTGTCTCTTTCCACAGATGTGGTCTATTTAATTAAGTAAGGTCCATGTAAATACTATTATTGGTGTTGTTAAATGCCATCGAGTCAATTCCGATTCATAGCGACCCTGTATAGGGTTTCCGAGGAACAGCTGGTGGGTTTCAATGGCTGACTTTGGGTTTCAGTTCCGTGCTGATCCTACAGCACCACACCAGGAGTACCGTGTGTTGTTGAAAAACGGTATTTGCTATGAAGTCATTTAATTTCTTGCCAAATTCTATTATGGGATCTCTTGTATTGTTTCTATCATGAAGGCCATATTTTCCAACTGATTTCTTTTTGTTCACAAGTTTCACATTCCAATCACCAGTAATTATCAAAGCATCTTGATGACATGTTTGTTCAGTTACAGTGGTGGTGGTGGTAGAGGTTGGTTTAAAAAAAAAAAAAAGTTCAATTTCTTCATCTTTGACATTAGTGATTGATGTTTAAATTTGAACAATAGTTTTATTAGTTGGTCTTCCTTGTAGGCAAATGGATTTTATCCTAGCACTGACAGTACTTTGAAATATTTCTTTTGGTTATGAATAGGATGTCATTTTTCTTAAATTTGTCTTTCCCAATGTGATAGCTAAGGTTTTGTGTCAAATTGATTGGGACAGGATTTACAGTGTCTTAGCAGTTAAAATGTAGTAGTCCCTTATGATGAAATCAAATATAATGTAATCCTTCCATGATGAGAGTGGCTATGAACACCCAGTCAATTGAAAGGAATTTTTCTCAGGGGTGTGGCCTCTTACAAGAGATAAAAGGAGAGAAAAGTGAGCAAAGAAGAGGGGCCTTCTTCCACCAAGAAAGAGGAGCTGAGAGTGAAGTGCGTCCTTTGGACTTGGGGTCCCTGTACAGTGAAGCGCCTGTTGTTATTGTTAGGTGCCATCGAGTCAGTACCAACTCATAGTGACCCTGTGCACAACAGAAGGAAAAACTGCCTGATCCGGGGCCAGCCTCACAGTTGTTGCCACACTTGAGCCCATTGATGCTGCCATTGTGCCAATGCATCTCGCTGGGGGTCTTCTTCTTTTTCGCTGACCCTCCACCTTACCAAACATGATCTCCTTCTTTAGCAACTGGTCCCTCCTGACAATATGTCTGAGTTATGAGAGATGAAATTTGGCCATCTTGGCCTTCATGGAGCACTCTGGTTGCTGCACTTCTTCCAACACAGATCTGTTAGTTCTTTTGGTATCCCATGGCACTTTCAGTATTCTCCTCCAACACCATAATTCAAAAGTATCAATTCTTCTACCGTCTTCCTTATTCACTGTCCAGCTTTTCATGCATATGAGGTTATT